GATGTCTTTAATCTTTGGGGAAGATACTTAGAAGGGGAATACCTGGGTCAAATTGGATTTCTATTTTTTAGTTTTGGTTTTGTTTTGTTTTTTGTACAGGGATCAAACTTGAGACCTTGCACTTGCAAGGCACTTGGCAGGACCACTGAGCTAAATCCCTGGCCCTTAGTCTCTTTGAGGAATCTCCATGCTTATTTCAAGAGTGGTTTTATCAGTTTACAGCCCCACCAACAATGGAGAAGTGTTTCTTTCTCCCCACAGCCTCATCAGCATTTGTTATTGGTTGATTTTTTTATGGTAGCCACTCTTTCTGGAGTGAGATGGAATCCCGGTGTTGTTTTGATCTACATTTCTCAAATGGCCAATGATGTTGAAGATTTAAAAATGTATTTATTGGCCATTTGTATTTTTTCATCTGAGAAGAGTCTTTTAATGTCAGATTCCATTTTTAACTGAGCTTTAAATTTGACAGTGTCTAAGTTTTTTAGTTCTTTATATATGCTAGATATTAGTCCATTCTGTAGGTTGTCTCCTCCTTTGCTCTGTAGCAGGTTTTACACCTGAAGCTATCCCAGCCTCAGTGGGAGAATGGAGCCAGTCGTATAGAGAAGCTGTACAGTTTCAGTGCAAAGGGGCAGGATGTGGCTCTGTGATTTGAATTGTGGCAGTGATGGTGCTGGCCTAGTAGTAGACCAGTATGTAGACCAGTAGTAGACCAGTAGTAGACCCAGTATGACTCAGGAGGTTGTAGAAAAATAAATAAATGAATAAAGAAAGCTGGTTGTTTACATAGGAGGAATGTGGATGTGTTCCCAGTAGCAAGAAAAGGTCACCAAAGACCCTGTTGGAGACATGTTGTATGATGCCAAAGGCCAACAAACATTGTACCACAAACACTCCAGGGAGGGGGACTGTCCAGTATCAGTTAAGTTTAGGAGTGGTGTCATTCTGGTCCCTGATCCCAGAACCCCTTGGATTATAATCCCTCAGTGGAGACATGTTGTTTCAAAAAACCTGCATTCCTCCTCATTTTACCTTAAAACCTTCCCCTTGGCTCATTCTCTGAATAGCCTCAGAATTTGCTATGAAACTTGAACTCTGTTTTGGTGTTCATTGTTCCTACTTGAACTTCATTAAATTTTAGAGAATAATATTTTTTAGATAACAATATTATATGTATAATATTATTTTGCCACCATAAAAAATAGAAAGGGCTTTTCCAGATTGCTACCTCCTCTAGCCTCTCCCTGTGGACACACCTGTCAGTTTAAACTCTGAACTCCATGGTGTTGTGGCAGAATGCAAAAGGTAACCAAGAAAGAGATATTGCCAACTGAATGTGTGTTTGGGGCTGAAAAAAGGGACAGAGGTCACTGACTGTGATTGTAACCAGTTAGTGCAGCTGTGCTCTCCCAGGAATTCAAGGTAACTTCATGAGGGTCAAGGTGTGAATTGGTTTATATTAACATGGAAAATATATTTTCTTTTGGAAAGCAATTGGAGTAAGCGACACATATTATCTCACTTATTTCCAAAATGAATGATTTACAGAGTTCAGAGTCCTAAAATTGTAATGTGTTCTTCAGTCTCTTTGTTCTTTTCCCATTGTTCATCATTACAGTGTCCTCTTCTTTTTTTTGTTCTATCCTGTAAGTTCAACCAGAGTTGTGGGAAGTGGAGGTTCAGAATTTTTACACTCTGGGGCACTCTTTTATTCTTAGATCCACTTAATTACTATGAACAGCACCTATTATCTAATTCTGTAGACTGAGGAGACGCACATATTGGCAGTGGTCACAACGATTCATATGTCAACCAAAATTGTCAACCATGTACTCAAGACCGAAAATGAATGGTAATCACTACCCTTGAGCTCTGATCAGAACTCAAAGATCTCAAAGCTCAGCAGCTCCCACCAGACACACTGAGTTCCAGCTGCTGCCCCTGTTTCTGTTTTTGCAGGAGGAAGCTGAAGGCAGCACCTACAGGCGATTCCCCATCTTTCCAAGCATGGCCTCTGGCCAGTGTCCTCCTAGGTGCTCTTGCCACAATCCTGGCTGTCCTCTCAAAATCCTTCCTCATGCTCATGCTCCTCTGAATAATTCTAACACCTGCCATTTCCCAAATATTCCCAAATATACCTCCAGGTAGTACAAATCTCACCATCTTCACTCTCTCTCAATGGACAAGCCATTCAGGTCTCTCATGGGTTCTTGCTGATGTATCCTTTTCGACATTGAGCAAAGTTGCACCTTCAATGAGCTTCTTCCTGCAAAAGTTAGTGGGCAAACAAGACCTTTCAGCAAATTAGAAAAAAAGGTGTCTTTTCTCTATGTCTAATTGAGAAATAGCAAGGCTTTGTGTTAGCCAGCCTGACTCCATTTGTGTAAAGTTGGGTGATTCGGGACAGTGGCCTTCCCTTTCCTCTCCACACCATTGGGAGTCTTCTCAGTTAATTCATAACAGACCAACCACAGCATCTGTGTGAGTCTGCAACTATGTTATTTTTGTGACCTTTTGGTAGAGCGATCTTCAACTATGTTGTCTTTACTACCTTGTAAACAAAAGACTCAGGCACCTATGTGATACTTTGTTTTAACTAAACTATGTGAAATTGCCCAAGGGACCCCCCCCCACTGACTTACCAAAGTTCTGCTCCTGTGAAGTTTCCCTTGTGCTCCCCCACTCCACGAGCACTCCCCAAATAAAAGAGCCTTTAAAAGGACCCTACAAACTGCCTTTCCTTGATCCAGAGCTTTTGGAGACCTGAGCCTGCTTTGGACCACCAGCTATGATAATAAAGTATTCTGTTTAATTCAGAGTGTGGTGCACCTCTATAGTTCTAGCTTGATTGGCCCTATAACACCTTCAGCCATTGGAATCAGAATAGACTGTACATTAGTGCATGGTAGGCATTCCTGACCAGGTACTCTTGTACCTGCACAACTGTGTCTGGGGGACCAGTTTCTTTCCAGGATTATCCATGTGCTTCTGGGCTTGTATCATTCTACTCTAGAATCCTGATTCATGTTCCATGTGCAGAAAGAGTGATGACCACGCACCCTCACACACACCCTATTCATTTAGCTCCCTGCTAACAACATGTCTGTGGCTTTCCTTGCCCCTGGAATAGAATCCACACCACATATCCTGCATGTAGACTCCTGGGTGCCCTCACCTACTCCCTCCAAAGACAGTTTGGGCAGCCACCTTTCCCCAAAGCTGTGTCTTTCTTCTCTCTGTGTTCAGGCTTCTATTCCACACCTGAGAAGGTCATCTCACTGTGTACTGAGGCCTCCTTCCTCATATTTTCCTCTCCTGGCTCTTACAACAGCTGGGAGAACTTCCTTCTGCCTCCACACTGAAATCTCCTGAGAACTCCTTCCCTGGAGAACCCCACATCATTGCATCTCTGCCACCTTCCAAGTATCTACTTACTCCCTGCTGCACAGTAAGAAATCCACACAGAAAGATTAGATTTTTCTATAGTTCTATTTCAGAGAACTTTGAGAGGAAAAAACCAACACTTTCACTGTCCTGTGAAGATGTTGCACATAGGTAAGTTTGAGCACAGTAGTGAAAGGGAATCATTTCCCCCAGTGAGGAGACTTCCATGGAGAGGGAATAGCACTGCATTTTGCTTTGCCTGTCTTAGGTGCATCCTCAGTTAAAATTTGTAGGAAGTGTGATGGCGGTGACCCTAAGCCACCACTAAGGCCCGTGGTGGACAGTGCCCACTGTCCTACCATTTGGCTGAATGTCAGCACTGCTGGGGTCTGAAAACCACACGAGTAGTACAACAAGGGGATCCAAACATTGCTGAGGAACTGAACAGAGGAGAGGATGTGTGTGGCTGCTATTTCTGGGTGGCTGAATCTGTACTAGGAGTTGCTTTCAAAGCAGTGCAGCTGAGAAGGACTTTATTACTGAGCCAGGAGATCTGAAACCTGGCCCTAGATAAAAGAGCCCCAGGAGAGTGCACAGTTTCAAAACTCCTACCACAAATTGTAGTGAACAATGGTAGAATGTGCACAGGGCTTAGTGTGTCACGTGACAGTTGCTGTGCCCTGAAGGAAGCAGAAAAAGGGTCCAGGGCTTTGATGAGGGTGAGGACCTTTCAGCCATTCCAGATCCTGTGTCCTTCTACAAGGTAATTCCTCGGGAATTGAAAGGTGAATCACCAAGATCAAAGCTTCCTGTTCTTGCACTTTCCTATTACTGGACCTTGCTGTTTATGATTAAGAAATATTCATGAGCCAAGTAATGAATGACATTTAGATCTGCTGTGCAGCAGTGGGGCAGTCCCCAGACAGTGTCTTTGGGGAGTCAGTTGGTTGCAGAAGCCTGAGGTCACTCTCCACATTCTTGACTCTGTAGTAAGAGGTAAGATGATATGGGTGCAAATTTAGCACTCTCAGTGTTGGCCCAAAGAACCAAAGTGTCTTGGGAATCTCAATATTGAGCCATATTGGTCCTTGAAACTTTTACCTTATCAGCATTCAATAGAATTATAATTGGGTGAAGGAGATGTTAATAAATCTCCTGCTGGAGAATATAGGATCACAGCCATAGAGAAACCATAGGAAGGGAACAAAAGGCTAAGGATGCAAGGTCTGGTTGCCACATGAGTCATCTCAATGTACCAAGAGCTTCAAAGAACCAGTAATAGGGTATTGCAGTAGTAATGGACAGAATTGGACATACCAGCACTTCTATTCTAGCCTCAAACAATTCTAGTAGGCAGAGTGGTTTTTTTTTCTTCCCTTTTCTGCAGTTAAACATACACGGGTTCAGGGAGATTAAGCGATATGTCAAGGTCATGCAGCTAGAAATGGGAGGAACCTTGTCCCAATAAATGCTTCTGATCATCATCCTCTTTTGGTGCTGGTGGCCTGCTTCCTTTGGGGCCACAGCAGAAGGACACACACTGAGCAAGGTTTCCATTGTGCCTGGGTGACCAGGAGTGGTTGGGTCCTCACACAGCTCTCCCTCTTCTGCAGGGCTGCAGGGAAGTCACACAGGCAGCTTTGGCAACCCCTGGAGGACTGAAGTGGTAGACACACAAGTGGCAACATGACTCCTCATCACATCCGCACATATCGGGAGAGCGACCGAAAACCAGTCCTGGACTTGTATCACACCCGCATATCGGGAGAGCGACCGAAAACCAGTCCTGGACTTGTTCTGCAGGGGCATGACTGAGCATGTCCCTGCCACCTTCCGCCACATGCTGATGCTGCCTGGAACCCTCCTGGTTGAGCTCGGGGTGCCCCTCTCCCTGCTCCTGTTCTCTGGCTCCTGGCTCCTGGCGATCACATCCAGCCTCACTCTGCTGCTCTTGTTGTGGCTCCTCGCCAGATACAACTGGAAGCTGTATGTGGCCACATGTTTGCGCACAGACATGGCTGACATCACCAAATCCTACCTGAGTGCGTGCGGCTCCTGCTTCTGGGTGGCCGAGTGTGGGGGGCAGGTGGTGGGCACTGTGTGTGCTCTGCCGGTGAAGAATCCCCCACTGGGGAAGAAGCAGTTGAAGCTGTTTCACCTCTCAGTGGCTAAGGAGCACCGAGGAGAGGGGATAGCGAAAAACCTGGTCAGGACTGTCCTCCAGTTTGCCCGGGACCAGGGCTATGTTGAAGTCGTGCTTGAGACAAATATAATACAGCACAGTGCCCTGGCCCTATACCAGGGCATGGGCTTCCGGAAGATGGGCCATTATTTTATGAATATAATCTGGAGGCTGGCAGGTGTTCCTATATTTCATTTAATGTATCAACTCCCTTCTGTTTAGGATAAGGACCTGTAATCTATTTATTTGTCTATTAATCAGACTCTGATGGAGTCTGTTGTAGTAACAAGCAAACTGTGACATTTCTGTGTTTACAAACCATAAAATCTCATTCTTGTCCCCATCTGAGTCCAGCATGTGTGATGGCAGTTTGCATGTAGTTGCAGTTTTTCTCCATGTGGACTTACCCGCCTCATTATTCTAGTGATAGATATTCTTATGATAGTGTCACATCACAGTACTAGACACACATATTCTCAGAAGTTGTGGGCCAGCAGTTTCTGCTGGATTTGCTTGGGAGCTTGCTGGTCCCAGGACATCTGTGCAAATGTCCTGGGACCAGCTGCAGTGCTGGGCATCTAGGCTTCATTCTGTTTCTCTTGTCTGACTGATACTGGGTTCAAAGTCCTGAAGAGGTGTTAAAACAACACCAGAAAAGAAGCCAGACTTTTTCAAACCTTATCTTTGACATGAGTTATAGCCACAGGGCAAGGGGCTGAGATTCATTGCTGTGAAAAGATTTGAGCAGCGATGTGCTACATCTTCTCTAGTCAGAAGGAGTTGCAGAGAGGATATTTGCATGAGAAATCATGGATGTGTTGAGCCCTCATACTGACTAGACCTGGCTGGTTAGTGTGTGTGGGGCGGGGGAGTGGTTTCTGTGTGTACAGGAAGAGCAGATGTTGAGAAAATGACTGTCCCAGATCGGTCATTATTGGGACCCAGATTGGACTCTGCCCTGTCCCTATAGTCTCCAGTACTCTAGAATTGTTGCTGCCTTGTCCTGACCATGTCCTCCTGGACAAGGGTAAGTGGGGATTGGGTCTGTGCTGAATGTTTCAGAGCCATCTCTGTCCCAGTTACTTCATCTCTAACACTAGAGAGCCCTTGGGGCTAGAGTCCCTTTCTGAGTCCCTCAACCCCATAGGCTGACCTTCTGCAGAATGCATGAGTCCAAGCACTCCTCAGCCAAGTTCTTGTAACACTGAAGCACTGCTGTGTGTTCTCCTCTAGCCTGGTATGTATCTTCCTTTTTACTGGAGGGTCCCATGCACAATTACCCCAGCTGACCCTGACACAGCCCAATGAACCTGCATGGAGGCTCTTTGCCACATTTCAGGGAAAGATTCCAAATGTCACTGACTTGTCTGGGGTCAAAGGCCTCAACAGTCCCCCATCTATGCTTCTCAGTTGACCCTGGCCTTATGAAACACCCACAATTCTGTCTTCCAACCCTTCCCCCTCCTTCAGGTTGCCTCCCTGTGCTTCTCTGAACTCAGTCATTTAGGCATCTATCCCACTCCCCCACTAGGCCCTTTTACACCTGGGTTGTGTTTGTACTATCTTCTCACTTAGTGGTGGAGCCCTCAGGATAGCTCACTGAGGTGGGGGAAGAAAGCCATAGAGCTTCCTCCATTTCTTGCTGCTACAAGTTCTCACCCAGCAATCCCATTTCCTCAGGAGCAGTTCCCATGTGGGTATGAGGTTGGGGTAGGACATGGAGGAGGCCAGGATGTTTCCTGTGTTTTGGAAAGTTAATTAGGTAGCAGCAAATAGATTTGCTAAGCTCACACACATGTGGACAGGCCATGCTGGGATCAGGAGCCAGAGAGGCAGAGAGGCAAAGGACCAAGGTGGAAATTCTGTCACAGGGAGGGCATCCTGTACACTGAGGAAGGGCACCCCGACTGGTGGAGGCTCCCACCAGGGCCTTGGGCCTCTGCTTCTGGCACCCAGATGCAGCCCTGAAGCCTGGCCTATCCAACTCCTGCATTCTCCCTGCCTCTGTCAACAGCTCTGTTTCCCTCAGTTATGTTGTAGGTCTTCAAACACTGTGTTCCTGTAATTATGGTATTAACTTGAATTTAAAACACTTAGTAGATTGGCTTAGGACAGTTCTGGGTGTGTCTGGATGATTGACTTACTGAAGACTGAAGAGCCTCCCTAGTTTGAGGGGACACCAACCAATAGGCTTGTAGTGTAAATGGAATAAAACAGCAAAGAAAAGGAAGTCTCACTTACACTTCTTGGGAGGAGCTCCATTTTTTTGCCATTGCCTTTCAACACCTGCCTGTCACACTTCTTCCAAGGACTTGGAGGAAAAGCCCTAACTGTGCAGGTGACACCCTGTGTCTGTTCTTGGGGGAAGGGCATGACTGGGTCATAGAGCAGGCCAAGGGCTACAAAAAGGTCAAGGAAATCTCTAGATGAGAAGAGAAATTGTATCTCCACACCTGAGACCGCATGTAAAAATAAAAAACCAGTCGTTCATACAACTTGGTGGAAACAAGGGTTTGGAGAGATAAGGAAACGGAATGATGTCTGTGGAGATACAGGCTTCCTCTTGGGCTGATGAGGGTTTGAGGACTTGATAAGGTGGTGTTGGTCCACCTTGTGAATGTTGCAAATGCTGCAGGCCATGTGGGATTTCCGTAAGTAGAGACCTCAGGGAAGAGCCAAAGGGCGGGACAATGTGGTCTTCTGGTACAAGTGCTATGCCAGTGTACCAAGAAGCTCAGAGAGTAATGAGATGACAACAGGATTGGTTTCTTCTTAGGCTTCTCTTCCTGTCTGGTAAATGGCCAACATCTCCCTATATCTCTTCCCATTTTCTTTCTTCTCTCTTCTAGTCCTAATCTCTTCTTCCTTTTTAAGGGGCAGTCCATGCAGTGGAACCCAGGATCTCTCACTTTCTACCACTGAGCTATATATCTTTCACCTCCTCCTCTTAAAAGGATGACAAACATATTGGAGTAAGGCTGATCCTACTGATCTCTTTTTAACTTGTTTTCTTAGATACTGGGACTAGAATGTCAATTTATGAATTATGGGAAGATCTAACTCAGCATATAGCAGGCTGACCCACTGTTTTCTAAATCTGGCAGATGGAGCACACCCTGAAATTTTTATTTACCTTTACCTTTTATTTATATTGCACTCTACCACTGTGCTACACTTTCAGCTCCTCTCTGCTGTATCTATCTGTAAGCGCATGTATACACACTATCTATCTATCTATCTATCTATCTATCTATCTATCTATCTATCTATATTTAGTTTATTTTTGAAAGAGATGGGCTCTTGTTATGTATGACCAAACTGGCCCAAGTAGCTAGAACTACAGGCATGTGCCACTGTGCCCAGCTCTATGTTTTTAATTTCCAAGTGTTGACTTTCATTTTTTGAATGGGATTTTTTCTTTTTCAGAAAATATCACCATTCTTGGGTTGTAGATATAGCTCTGTGGTGGAGCACAAGCCAAGCAAAAGTGAATCCCTGGATTTGATCCCCAGGAGCACAATATATATATATATATTTTTTTTCAAAATAGTCTATTATCTATTTTTTAACATTATCAGTTTTTAAAGTTTATTCTGTTCTTTGCATCGATTTTTTTATATTTGTTTATATATCTGTTGTTCATGTTGGAGGTGTTCCTGTTTCACCTTGGGGCCATCCTTCTTTACCCATCTGTCTAGATGTATGATTGAAATAAAAAGCTGATGGAAATATTACTCTTATTGGACTTGCATTGAGGTGGCTAGTCAGTTTGTTGTTCACTTACCCCCTGAAGAACATATTTATTCTTTATTTTCATCTTTACTGCCATCTCTCATCTCAATCCCATTCTCTTGGTAGATTTTTCTTTTTATTGTTCTTACTACAATCAGATTTTTCTATGAACAAACTTACCAAGGACTATGAACTTGGAAAAAATATCAAAAGGAATTTATAGCAAGTATTTACCTTCAAAATTCAAAATGGGTCATTTCACAGAAAGACTTCAGAACTGGGCCAGAGATTTAGCTCAGTGGTTTTTGGTGCCTGCCTTGCAAGCCCAAGGACCTGAGTGCAATCCCCGGTACCACTCTCCCGCCCTCCCCCGCAAAAAAAGACTTCAGGGTTTGTGGAAAATTTTTTTCTTCTAAAAATTTATTCTGTAATGGAGTTTTCTGGGTAAAATTCAACAGCTTTTAATGACCGGCTTGTTTGTGTGAGGGCTACCATGGAATAAATTAGCACAAAAATGCAAAAAAGTCTTATAACTAAGTATTCACTGTCACAGACATAGTCAACAAGGTCAGTTACTCTCAGAAGTTCCTCTTCCCCTTCTGGTGCTCCTGCTCCTGCCCAGCTCTTGGCCCACTGGGTGCAAGGCTTGCCCTGACTGTGCTGTGGTCAGAAGCTTTTCAGGCAGCTCACTAATCAACTGTTTTGCCTGGACTCAGTACATTAGTAGAAGACAAATCCACTAACCTATCATTCAAAGGGTTTCCCACTTTGGCTATATTTTCAAAGTCCACTTCTTCAAAACTTTTGATCTGATAGGGTGGATTTCTTGGTGTTCGCCTGCTCTGAGGGCAAGACTGAGATTTTTTCTTTAAAACTTTTTTCCCTATCGTTTGCTGGAATTTGGGCAGGAGCTAGAGTTTCAGGCATGAGCACCAGTGAACTAAGAATTTAATTGCCAATGAATTGCTTTGGGTGTTTGTTCTCAGTCAAGTAATCACAAGTGATTTTGTGTGTATCTGCACACTCTGAAGGAATGGAGTTAATGGAGTGTCCTAAGTCATAATTTGAACCTAAAACACCAGTCACTACACTGCTATTGTCCAGAGAGGCCCATCCAATATATTATGTAAACCTCCTTCCCAAGGACATTCTGACAGAGGTCCTAGAACTGTTTTAAGAAAGCAAGTCCATTTCTGTTGTTCTCCTCATGGGAATGACTTATGGTCTTCATGTTCCATTTTCAACTCTTGTGAAGACTTCTGCATCAGACTGCAAGCTGCCTTCTCACTGCAGGTTGCTGTGTTCACTTCCGTATGTGCATGCCAGAGATTGTACAAGTACTCTGCTCCACACACACTTGTGCCACCATGTCCTTGGTGTTCCAGGTGGTTCCCTTGACTCTCCTGCAGTCTCTGTGAGCCAGTTATTCTCAGAGGCACATCCCCTCCATAGAGTCTGCTTTGCCAACCCTACCCTCCCTGCTGATACTG